TATCTGCACCCACGCTTGGAGCTGTGCTTCTGTGCAGGGAAAGTTCTGGCTTGTCGGCCATGTTCTTAATGCTCACTCATTAGCTCAAGGATGTGGCTGGCCACTATCGTTAGGAAATGATATGTGCTTTGGGGGTAAAACTCCCAAAGAAAGAGAAGAAAAGTAACTTTTAGTCGTTACTTTCCAATTCCGAGTCAGACCCATGCTGGGTCCTGTTCTTAGTGAGATTTACCCTTTTCCAGCAAGGTGTGAAGTGGATTTTATTGCCCTGGTTTTTCAGATGAGGAAACTAGGGAACTCAGGTCACACAGAGTCAAAACTCTGTAACCCAAGATTGCCTTATCAAAAGCCCACTGGGCTAAAGCCAGCTACTCAAGGGATAAGGAGAAAAACTGTAAGGGAAGAAGAAATAGCTATAAAACCACCAATTGAATGTACTGAATGTGTTTACTTTTTCCAAGCACCCTAGAAAGCAATGTTTTCTGCCCTCGATTCAGTTTACATTAGGACCCAGACAGGATGTGCGTGAATGAACCTGAATGGGCAGTGAGTATAAGTGGGAGCCCCAACCTGAAAAAGGCAGAGAATCTCAACAGTATGCAGACAAGTCCCTGTTTGGTGTTGTATCTTCCCCTCAAAAGCTGGCTCCTCCTGCGGTTCCCAAAGATTCCAACCCCAGGTCAGTCCTGCAGATTGAGATTGAAAACGAACCTCAGGCAAGGAGATTTAACTATCCAGCTGGTCCTGAGCATCCTGTCCCTGACTCTCCGAGTATCTTGAGAAGCACTATTTTGGAGTATGGCCTCCAACACGAAATGTGAAAACTCAAATCTTTAATCAAAGAACTACAGCAAAGTTTTAAAACTATAAGTTATGATCCATTATTGGGTTATGAAATACTTCACAGGCTTGTGGCCAACATTTTCTAAAACGTGGATAAAGTAAGATAGCATAGAAAATAAAATATCAAAACACACTGAACAAAACAAATATTGTATTGTGAACTTGTTCTAGCGGTGTGTATAAATACGTAAACACACACACTGTGCATACATATATGCACAAGACCTATAAATGTACAAGTGAATGCTTGATCCCGAGTAACATTCTTTCACCAAGGAATAACTTATTTTATTACCCCAGGACTTGGTTTGCTACCTGCAAAATTGGGACAGGAATGCTCCCTAACAATGAAGTAGTTACTGTTTCCTTTAATTTCCTGTAATTACAGTGATAATTTATTGAAAATTAGCAGTTCACCTTACGACCAATATCCAATAACTAATATTTTGAAAAAACAGAATATTTTTGAGTGGCAAACTTAGTCATTTTAAAATTTTTCCTTATATTTTCCACTGTGTTTTCCATGTTATCCATAATGAGCATATGTTCCTTGTCTTTTACAACCACAAAACACTTGAATGTTTTTACCACAAAGGCCTCCCAAGGGGAAAAAAAGCAATACTTAGAAAAAATGCAGAATGACTTCCAAGAGCAAAATATCCTTTGGTGGTTTTGTTTTGTTGATAAAGTCCATGACTATGCAGTTAGTGATTAGTGTGTGGACATTTTTTGCAGGGAAAAAGATAATGTAAGCACATTCAAACTTTATCACTCCATAAATGTTCTAAGAGCCGGAAGTTGCAACAAGTCGCTGTCTGATTTGGGCTTTCCTTTGGCAAGAAAGTTTTCTCCCAAAGCTATTGCTGATAAAGGCAGCCACTTGAAAGTCTTCTCCGGCAATTTTGAAGGAAGGATTTGCAAAGCACCAGCATGGGTAGACTTTTGCAAAATGCACTTGGGCCATTTGAGTCACACCTAGATTATGGACTCTAAGTAGGTTGTTTGAGGCGGGCCATAAAAGGAAAGTAAGCAAAGAAAAAAACAATCTTACCACCCACACTCCACTTCCAATGTTTTGTCTCCCAAAGTTCATGCAATTTAAGGAACTTTTATTCCTATTGCACCAATATTTTGCTACTTTGCACCAAGAGTCGCTCTGTTAAATGCCTTAGTCTGCACTCTGGACTGGCTGGGATGGGGTACTGACAGCAATATTGAGAGCAACAGTAATAATTACGGTTGCTAGTTCTTAAGCACAGTCTTTGCAGGAGGAACGATGCTAACCGTTTTGCCTATGTCATCTATTTAAGTCCTCATGGACACCACTGAAGTAGGCGCTCTTACTGCTCTCACTTCACAGATGAGGAGACTCAGGCACAGAGAGGAAGTTAAGTGTTGCCTGGCATTGGGCGCCAAGCTAAGGATTTTGAATCTTGAAGGTTTTAGGCAAGGAAGTATCTGTATTTTTGGAAAGAGAATTCAGGTGACCTTCATATGGTGGACTGAAGGTGAAAAACACCAAATGGGTGAAAACTAGTTGGAAGACCATCGTTTGCTCCCCATAGACACCTCAGCTCTGTCAAATGATAAACTGCCCTCCAGTCATGCTGAGGAGTTAATGGTCTTGTGTCTTTCTACTCATTTTTCACCTCATGGCAGTTCCATTCTTCCATTTGCGCCCCCACCCCCACCCCCAGCTCATTCCTATTCCACCTCCAAGGGCTATTCATAGGACAGTTCCTTTCTGAAGAATGAGCTAACAGGCCAATGGCCTGGGTGAAAGGCAGCATACAGGGAGTTGTGGGTTAGGCGCATCTGCTCAGCTTCTACCCAGTGGTGGCTTTGGGAGGTTCCAGAACCTTTCTGAGACTTACCTCAACTTTGCAATGGGAATAATATTACCCATCATGCAAAGTGGGTGTGGAAATTTAGATGATACTTTGGCACTTCCAAAGCCTCTATAAATAGCATTTACTTAAATAGTTTGTCATATCAGAGGCCCTCCCCCACCCCCAAGGAGAATGAATTGTTTCAATCCCCATTTTCCCTCAGCAGACCAATCCTACCTCTATATATGGTTGCACTAGGTTGAAATGACATTAAATCACAAGCAAGGGTCTGTAGTGTTCTCCTGCCTCAACCAGATTCTACATCCTTGCCCACAATGGTAGGCTGAATAGTGCCACCCTTTCCCAGAAATTTCCCTGGAACGTGTGAAAATGTTACCTTATATGGCAAGAAAATAAAAGGACTTTGCAGATGTGTTAAGGATCTTGAGATAAGAAGATTGTCCTGGACTATCCAAGTGGGCCCAATGTCATCACAAAGGGTCTTTTTTTTTTTTTTAGAGACAAGCAGGGTATAAGAAGTAGAAAGGTCAGAGGAGAGAGAGGAAATGTGACAACAGAAATAGAGGTTGGAGTGATGTAGTTTGGAGATGGAGGAAGGAGGCACCAGCCCAGAACTGCAGATGGCCTCTAGAAGCTAAGAAAGACAAGGACACAGATTCTCCCCTAGAGCCTGCAGAAGGAATGAATGCAGCTCTGAGGATACCCTGAGTTTAGCCTGTAAGCCCCATTTTGGACTTGTGACTTCCAGGACCGGAAGATAACAAATCTGTGTTGTTGAAGGTATGGCATTCATGGTACTTTGTTGCAGAAGCAATAGGTAACTAACATGCCCATCTTGCAGCACCCTCCTTTCTCCCCAAAATATAGTAGTGTCTTCCTGAAGCATAAATGAAAGTATAACCTTGCACCTCTCCTACCTTCCGCAGCCGTTTAACATACAATTTTGATTTCTCTAATGTTAAGGGATTCATGGAACGGTGGTTGACTGCAAATAAAGTGTTACTGAACGTGAGACTACCAAGGAAAAAAAAGCCCATTCAGAACATTTGCAGGCTTAGAGCAACCCTCATGGTATATAAATGGAATGGAATAAGAGCCAATTCTGTAGGTTTGCCAAATGTGGTATTCACTAAAGGTAGTAATGTGGGTATAGTAACTGTTTTTTAACATTTCACTTTAGTGAAATGTCAACGTTATCAAAGCACTAATTAAGAGTAAAATATTTGTGGGGCGCCTGTGTTGCTTAGTTGTTAAGCGTCTGCCTTCAGCTCAGGTCATGATCCCAGGGTCCTGGGATCGAGTCCCACTGGGATCGGGCTCCCTGCTCGGCGGGAAGCCTGCTTCTCCCTCTCCCACTCCTCCTGCTTGTGTTCCCTCTCTCGCTGTGTCTCTCTCTGTCAAATAAATAAAGTCTTAAAAAAAAAAAAGAGTAAAATATTTGTATGTAATTCTCTGGGAAGTATACAAATACTTCTCTTAATATGTGTAGAGAGTCTTAGTTTCCTTTTTATTAATTTTTCTAATACTGGGGTAGAGTATAAACCTTAAGGGGATAAAAGCAGAATCTGGTTTATTTATTTATTTTAAAAAGCCAGTAACCAGGGCGCCTGGGTGGCTCAGTCGGTTAAGCGGTTAAGCTCTGCCTTCCACTCAGGTCATGATCCCAGGTCATGATCTCAGGGTCCTGGGATCGAGGCAGCCTTGGACTCCATGCTCCACGAGGAGATTGCTTCTCCTTCTGCCTGCCACTCCCCCTGCTTGTGCTCTGTGTCTCTCTCTCAAGTAGATAAATAAAATCGTTTAAAAGAATAAATAAAAATACAAATAAAAAGCCAGTAACTTTTTTTTTTTTACCAAACATTTTTTTAATTTAAATTCAATTAGCCATCATATAGTACATTATTAGTTTCAGGTAGAATGTTCAATAATTCATCAGTTGCCTATAACACCCAGTGCTCATCACATCACCTGCCCTCCTTAACGCCCATCCACACCCAGTTACCCCATCCCCCCACCCATCTCCCCTCCAGCAACCCTCAGTTTGTTTCCAGACTCAAGAGTCTCTCATGGTTTGTCTGCCTCTCTGATTTCTTCCCATTCCGTTTTCCCTCCCTTCCCTTATGATCCTCTGTGCTGTTTCTTATATTCCACATGAGTGAAACCATCTGATAATTGTCTTTCTTTGATTTAAAAAGCCAATAACGGTTAAGTGTGATTAATATTTACTGGCAAAGCTAATTATAACATTAATATGTAAATAAATGAAGTAACACAGTTATGTAAATATGTATCAGCCAATGCATAACACCAAGTGAAGCAGTCTTTATTAGGCCAAACTTTCCTTCAAATTTATTTTTGCTTAAAATTCTGGAGATTCTTTAAAATGAAACTGTGACGTGAGGACGCTATTTCTTTGCTCTATTAAGAAATAGTTTGACTATACCGCAAGTCGATTTATTGTATTTATTTAGAATTTGAAAGATCATAAAACGATAAGAAGATTCTTCCGTAGTTAGGTTGCAAATGAAAAAACAAAAACAAAAAACATGCTCTGTCGAAAGGGTACAGAGTCAGGCAGCTAAGTAGCTAGCTCTTCAAAAGCTTTCTGATTATTTTCTTGTACAGGGGGGCATTCGGGTCCAGGCATATTTTCCTCCCATCCTTCAGCGAAGCTCTGTGGGGAGGAAAGAGACGCACCTTTCAGGGGTTGGTTTGAACTTGGGATTAGACGAGGGGTGAAGGGGGCGCGGAGGCGGAGGGACGGGGTGAGGGGGGCGCGGAGGCGGGGGTGCGGGGTGAGGGGGGCGCGGAGGCGGGGGGGGCGGGGTGAGGGGGGCGCGGAGGCGGGGGGGGGCGGGGTGAGGGGGGCGCGGAGGCGGGGGGGGGCGGGGTGAGGGGGGCGCGGAGGCGGGGGGGGCGGGGTGAGGGGGGCGCGGAGGCGGGGGGGGCGGGGTGAGGGGGGCGCGGAGGCGGGGGGGGCGGGGTGAGGGGGGCGCGGAGGCGGGGGGTGCGGGGTGAGGGGGACGCGGAGGCGGGGAAGGGAAGGCAGAGGAGGCAGAGGAGGCAGAGGGAGGTGGGCGGGCGCCGAGAAGCAAGTGGCAGGACGCACATCATCTGGGGGGTGGGGCAGTGGCCTGAGACACCGATCACTTCCAGGCTGCTGATGTGCCTGGGACGGACTAGGGAGGTGGTCTTCATACACACGCAGCGCAGGTCCTCATCTCCTCCTTCCGGGTCCACTGGGGGTTGGGTCCGGGAAACGGCAGTGAAAGAGAGAGCGGTGACTCCGGGAACCCCCATACTTACCTTAGGGATCTTTCTCACTGCGTTTGGCTTTCATTTCCTCCCCCACAAATCCTACCTCCCTCAGAGAAGCGTTATTGACCAGATGGTGAAGCGCACCCGGCGGCAGCGCTTGGCACAGCGCCCGCACACCTAGCGAGACCTCGAAAGATGCAGGATTCTGCCCCAGGCCTAGGGGTTCCCCGACTCTCCCGCTCTGCTTCCGCGCGTCCCCCGGACGCCTTATTCAGCCCCCACCTGTGCGGAGGGCGACGCTTGCTGGCAGGAGCAGCAGCCCCAGGAGCAGCAGCCGGGCGCCCCGCCAGGGGCTGGGGGCGCGGGAACGCGCTCCGACGCTCATGTCCAGCAGGTGCCGCAGAAGCCGAGCGTGCAAGGGCAGTCGGGGCTGGGGCTTAGCTGGCCAGTGGCTCCCAAGACTCTCCAGGCCCCTTTTATCCCCAGGGTCCGGAAGCTTGGGGTGGAGGATGGGGAAGCTGAGCTACTTCTGGGAAGAGCTAGGCTCTGGCCAGCCAAGATTAGGGAGGGCGGGAAAAGCCTGAGGTCAGTTGTCCTGGCTGGGAGCTGAGAGCAGGATCCTCAACTGCAACCTGAATTCATACACATGCACGCGGGCGTAGTTAGAAACAACCCTTGAACCTTAGGCGTCTGGTGCGTTATGTGTTACGGTAGAATTCTCTGCCACCACATGTTGCAGTTTACAGGGCTGGGACCTTCAGACCTGAGACAGTTTCTGTTTCTTCCCAACTCCCAACTCTCCAAGCACTGCATACTCCCACCTGCCTTTCCTACAGATTACCAGTTACACATTATCAGTTGAGTTGGGTGGCTGTGGGTGTTCAAGGTGTGTCCTTAGTAATTGTTTTCTGGCTGGTAAAAAGTTGAATGTGGTCTTCAGAGGATGACTTAGTTTTTAATTTCACCCGAATGTGGAAGGCTTCCTCAGTCTCTTGATCTATCCCGCCGGATCAGCCTTCATCCAACATACTCTAGGGAGCAAAATCTGTTATCCTCAGCTATCCTCTTCCTTTGAGAAAAATTGTAAAAGTAATATTTGAACACATTCCTTCTGTAAAAACTCAGTGCCTAGATGTTTCTCTGCTGGGCTGGGCCCAGAAATGAGGTGAAAAAGGAGAGTTTCCAGGCCGCCTTTCCCGAGCCAGTGCCAGTTTAAGGCAGGCTGCCCTGCCGGCGGGAGCAGTGATGCTCTCAGGAGGACACAGGGCATCCAGGAGTGGAGCGTGGAGAAGATATGGAGGAGTGGGTGGAGGGCATGCCACAGAATCCCACATAGGAAAGGTCAAGAGATCAATATGGACCATCTTCCCTTTCCTGAAAAAGGATGACTTGGGCTCTTGATTAAGGCAAAGGATGCCCTCATCTCAACGCCAGAGGCTTTCTGTCACACTGATTAACAGCGGTGACGGGCATCAGTAGCCCACTGCCGGGAACTAGCTGGTTCTGAATGCTCAGCAGGAACCAGACCTCTGCGGGAGTTAGCAGCTTACTTCCTGGGCCTCCAAAGTTCTTTCTCTTAGGATCCCACCACTTGCCTTTCAGCTGACTAAGTCCTATTCGAATTTCTGGTGTTAGCCTAACATCACTTCCTCAGAGAGGTCTTTCCCGATGGCTCCAGCTAATTGTGTTCCCTGTTGGGTTTTTGTAGCACCCTCTGCCTTTGCGATTTCTCACAGATCTTCCAAACATGCACACAGGTACATTTTTTGGTAAAGATTTTATTTATTTATTTGAGAGAGAGACACGTGAGTGGGGGGAGGGGCAGAAGGAGAGGGAGATAGAATCTCAAGCAGACTCCCTGCTGAGCATGGAGCCCAACATGGGGTTCCATCCCAAGACCCTGAGATCATGACCTGAGCGAAATCAAGAGTCAATCAAGACACTCAACCGATTGAGTCACCCAGGCGCCCCGAACACATGTACATTAGACACACAGATAGATATGCATATGAGTGTGTGTGTGTGTGTTTGAAAATGTTTAAAATGTTTTCTCTCCCCAGATGGAAAGCTCTACGAGGTGAGACATCATAACGTTTATCATTATTCTAGCACATGGGTAGGGACTTGATATAAAGAACTATATTCATGAAGATAATAAATGTTGAAAATGATTCTGAGGCTTTGATTTATTCACGTGTCGTTTCTTTACTAAGTTAGAGCATGTCCGTATATTAACGTGTGTCCCATATGGTTGTGATGATTTGTCAACCTATCTGCCTCTCCTACCAGACAATGATCTCTTCAAGGACAATTCTGTGTGACTTACATTTTTTTAATATCCAGCACCCAATGCAATGACTGATACAGAATATGCCGTACCTTAGACCAGTTTATTGCTTTAAAACTTGAGATCCGCAGTAAGGTTAGTGGCAGAGGGAATAGATAGAAGGAATGGTTTGGGCTATGAATGGGGGGTACCCTGGATTTGTGCAACCTTACCCCTGGATTTCAGTATTTGCAGGAAGTAGTAAGTGACGATTAAATGATTCTTTCTGTGCATTAAATGAAATAGTTTAACATGTGTACATGAAAATAAAAGACATCTGCCTCTGAGGAGGAACAGTTTAGCGGAAGAACTCTGTCATGTCTCAGGAGCTGGCACTGTTGGATTTCAGTAGGAAGCCACTAGAGAAATAAATGAGACGTCTGAGCTATTTTGGAATTATTGGAGAAAAGTTAACAAAAATGACTGCAATCCCCACTTACTGCTTTGATGTATATATATATATATATATATATTTGTAGTTGTTGTTATTAACTATTACTTAATAAATGCATTTATTTTGTAGACGAACCAATTTAAGGCACTGAGCCTATGATGAGGAGATAATAAAAGGAGATCTTAATATACAAAATTTGTGGACTAAATGCTTACTACATGAGTGTTCCCCAAAGTCCGTGTGCAGGTTGGGGTTGATGAACGTACTTCTTCACCTATAACCATCACAATATGCTACTTATGATCAGGTCCTATTTTGTGTGCCAATAACGTGTGATATATAATGTAATCTCTTTATTAGCAAAAGAAGAATCAAGGAAAGCAGTGTGGTGGTTAAAAGCAGAGTTTCAAATCCCCGCTCTGTCACCTACCTAGTTATCTGATCTTGGGGCAAATTTCCTAATCTCTTTGAACTTCAGTTTTCTTCTCTATAATGCTGGGGATGCTTATAATAGAATAATAACAAATAGTCGCTAACATTTATATATGGGTCATTGTGTAACATGCACTACTTCTAGCCCTTTGAATTTATTAACTCTTAATTTTCACATCAACTCTGTGAGATAAGCAGTATTATTATCCCATTTTAGAGATGAAGAAACTAAGGGATAGAGAGGTCTTGCAACCTGCCCAAAGTTACGCAGTTAGCAAGTGGTAGAACTATTTACTCAATTATGCTCTCTGCAGAGGATGTCCTCTTATAGCTATCTTGTGAGAATTATTTCATTCATACATACAAAACACTCAATATGCCTGGTATATTAAAATTTATCAATAAAGTTTAGCTATTATAATAAATTAAAAATGACACAAATCATCAACTGGTGATTTTGTTTGCTAGATTGTGGAATACTGAAGTGTAAAAAAACCCCAAAAAGGTAATTAAGGCATTTTTCAACAGTTCTGTTAAAATTAATAATATATGACAACAAAACAACAAATTTTGATTTCATGTTAATACTTGTGCAAGAATAGTGTGGGTGTAAATTTCAGGGATTAAGAAATACCAGAGGGAGGGGGGAGAGAATGGGCAAAATGGGTGAAGGGGGATAGGAAGTACAGGCTTCCAGTTATGGAATGAGTAGATCATGGAGATAAAAGGCACGGCATAGAGAATATAGTAAATGATGTTGTAATAATGTTGTAACGAGACAGCTACACTTCTGGTGCACACAGCATAAGGTATGGGGAAGTTTAATCACTATCCTGAAATGAATGCAACATTGGGTGTCCACTATATTCAAATAAAAACAATTTTAAAAAGAATGAAAGGTCTGTTGATTACAAAACAATACTTAAAAGTCTGATAAAGTTTACATTTTTTATTTTACTCATTCACAGGGTTGGTTCTAATACTAAAATTGTAACCATGCAGATATTAGGTGAATGCAAATATATACAAACATGTCAGGTTAAAACATTTAACACTATATAGAACCTCTATTATTATTATTATTATTATTGAAAATACTGGAGTTTTCTAATAGAGAATGTTAATGCTTCTCATCATATGTTTTTTTTAAAGGTTTATTTATTTATTTATTTGACAGAGAGAGAGAGAGAGAAGCAGCAGAGGGAGAGGGAGAAGCAGACTCCCCGCTGAGCAAGGAGACCAATGTGGGGTTCCATCCCAGGACTCTGGGATCATGACCTGAGCCGAAGGCAGCCACTTAACCGACTGAGCCACCCAGGCACCTCTCATCATATTTTTTTTATTCTACTCATATTAAATATATTCTCTTTAAAATAAATAACCACTGCTTTCAAGACTCACTTTCTACAACTTTATTCTTTTTAGGGTTTGAAGGCTAAAATAAACACTGGAAATATCTTTCAGAAAATGCTTTGAAACAAGACATCCTAAGACTAAGACAGTGAAAAACTCCATTAAGCGCCTAAATAAATTAGCAAACATTTCTTGAGCAAGTGCTCTATTCTGGGCTCTGTGTGATTCCAAATATCATTGACCATTATGGAATCTATTAATCATCATGGGCATAGCTAGTCTAACAGTAAGGTAGAGCAAGATAGGTTAATGCACATGTAAGTATTTGAAAAGAAAATTTTAAATAAATGAATGCAAAGCAGAGTGCCACATTTAACCAAGAGTTAGGGAATAAACCATACATTATATTTTGAAAGTAAGTTTGCTTATTGTCATCTTCTCTCTGCCATCTATTAACCAGCCTTCTCAGAATACCATGTGACTTTTTGAGGCAGAATGGAAAACATATCCAAAGTTTAATACAATACGAATGGGAATTTTGGATAAATAAGAACTCCAGAAAGTCAAGCCTTCAAACTCCTCCCATTCTTGGGAGATAAAAAGGTTTGACAAAGTGAACCAATTAAGTCGTTGACCCATCGCTTTCCAAAATTTTCTGGACTATTTTCTTGATTTTGGGAGCTTCTGGGTCCAGGCAGATTTTCTTTCCTTTCTTCAGTGTGGCTCTGCAAGAGGGAATGGAATTTTGTGAGTGCCCTGGCGTGACTCTCAGAGAGGATCCACGGGGCTGGATACAATAGAGTTGACGGGGAGAGAAGAGAGTTTCCCTGACGCCCAATGAGGCAATGATTACAGAAGCAGAGACTTACATCCCTTGAACATTGGCACAATGGGGTCCTGTTCTGAGCACCTCCAATTTTGGATGTTACTTGGATGAATGCCAGAGATGGTCTTCATACACATGCAGTAAAGTTCAAAGAACTGTTTCCTGTCCACACTTTGAGCTAGGGTAGAAAGTGTGGCTCGATTAGCCATTGCGATTATTGCGGAGATCTTATCTCTTGACTTGTTTCCTTAGTCTCCTTGCTCGTTAACTGTACCTCTCTCATAAAGCCACTGGGTATATGATCGTCTTCAAACCTTCAGTAAAGTACCTTAGCAGAATGCCCACGAAGCATCTCCTCGCCGCCTAGAGTTACTAGTATAATGCCCGTCTCCCGCCCCAGGAGAACCAGGGCAGGGTCCCCCCTCCCCCCCACCCTCCAGCCCCCCCTCTCCCCCCATCCCCAACCCCCCCCTCCACTGCTGCAGGGCAGCAGACGTTCCACCCTCAGTTTTCCCGGAGTTTCTCTTACTTTCTCCGGCGGCCCAGGGAAGCAGCGTGGTCAAGGGCAGGGATAGCACTAGCAGCCCCTGTAGGACCCAGAGAGGGCTGGTGCGGGCACAGGAGGAGGCGGCATTAGGTCTGAGGCTCATGGTCGAGAAGATTAAGCTGGAGTCGTTCCTAGAAACAGGAGACCTCAGCGTGAGGGTGTATTGCTGCCTAGAAGTCTGCAGCAATGTGACTTTTCATGCTCTCCTGATGCCATTTATACAAGCTCCCTCAAGGCCAGTAAGGAGGAAAAAGATAAGGCAGGAGAGGTGAGGGTATATGGAAATACATGTGGGAGGGTGGGCAGGTTGTGCCCAACCCAGATAAATGCCAGGCAGGTCAGGATTCCTGCTCAATTTCATTTTTACTTCCTTTCACACTCTCCCCCATCCTCTTCTCAGTCCCCATCTCCTTTACACAAACATAGCCTCCCACTTCGGGAGGTAAGAACAAGACTGAAGTATTACACGTATTTTCTCTGCATCATTATGTGATAATGCCCTGATAAGGCAATTTGTAGGCTTAAAAGACACTTTATGAGCATCTGAAAACATAAATATGCAGCCCTTTCCGGTTGCCAAGGAAAGCAGTTGTTCCCAAATTGGCTGTTGACAAATGCTAGGATTTGTTTGTAGGATGTAGATAAAATATGAGCCAGTAACCATAAAAGGCTCACTCTGTGTATTAGTTTATGGGCTGCTTTCTGTTTTCCAAATGTATTATTTTTTTATCATTTCATCCAGAAACTAGAAGAAAAATTCCTCTCCCCTTGTGTTATAAAATAAACTGCTTGTTTCTGACACCCGAGTCTACCCTAAAAAGCAAGCCCCAGCATATTTATTTTTTCTTTTATTTTTATTATTACAGGGAAGCATGTAATATAATTTATTGTAAAAGGTTCATACACTGCAGATGTATGTGGAATAAGAAATGTTATCATCATTATTCTATATCCTCACTCCCCAGTGGTAACCTTTGGTAACAAGTTGGCATTAGTTTTCTATTCTACCTGCATTTATATACACATGTATACATATGCATAGAGACACACACACATCACTCATAGAGAAGCTCATATATAGATAGAGGTAGACACAGAATTTTTAATAAAAATGGGATCATTATATAGCTTGCTTTTGTCCTTCCAAAATATGTCTTCAGCATCCTTTCATGCTACCCCAATGTAGTTTTGCCCCATCCTTTTTTTAATGGCTGCATGACATTCTATGGCATGGGCAATCCTCTGTCCAACCTCTGTCTTAGTGGTGACCTCAAGGGTGTTTCCAGTTTTGCAGTATTACAAATTGCAATAAAATCTCTATTCCTCAGTTCTCAGACCCTCCTTTATGGGTCTCCATCTCAAACCCCACATGATATAGATAAAGTCCCACAGAGATGCAGGGCAGACCTACACATCACATGCTGGCTGGTGTGTATTATTGTCTGGATCCCTGTTTCTTCTATAAAACTTGGTGCCTCAACTGGCTTTTGAAAGCCGAGGCATGCCCTAGGTTTCTTTGAATGCTTTAGGTATCCTTCGGGGTGTAGGATAATGCAATATACAGCGGGTCCTAAACAGTATTAGTCAATGACTGTGTATCACATGAAGGAAAGTTTCTCTTTCCTTTTTAATCAGACACAATCCTCAAACCAAACTCCATGTGGTCCCAAGTACCTATGGTATAGAAAAGGTGATTTAGAAGGCTGGGAATAAAGGATAAAGTTCGGGCCACAAGCTCTCTTCCTATTAAAACTATGCATGAATACTACACATTATTATTTAAACTTCCCTTTTTTTGCCAACTTTTTATAACTTTAAAATTCTGGAAAAAAACACTCAAAATATTCAAATGTACAAAATTACTTTATCAAAAGAATGAATACAGTAAATTATTTTTTCCAATTTTTTTTAAAGATTTTATTTATTTGACAGAGAGAGAGAGAGAGCAAACACAAGCAAGGGAAGCAGCAGAAGGAGAGGGAGAAGCAGGCTCCCCAACAGAGCAGGGAGCCTGATGCGGGGCTCAATCCCAGGACCCCGGGATCATGACCAGAGCCAAAGGCAGCTGCCTAAACCCCTGAGCCACCCAGGTGTCCCTTGTTTTAACTTTTAAGTCAATGTCCCCTGTTGTTTAACAGTGACTACTACACCTACTTAAGTTCATAGGTCCTGTTTTATAAGAGTATTTCTTATTTTTCTCACCCCATTTATTTTCCTCTTGTAACTTCCAGTCTAGCAGTAGAATATCTTAAAATGATTTTCCATCTCTCCCAACTCAGAAATTCATTGTCTAAGAAACAGGATCCAGAAAAAGCTGAGATGTGGAGTGAATTGCAGAGAGATTATCAGTAGGAAACAGAGTAAGGAGAATTAACTTCTTTCTAGTTCTTCCTGAGTGATGGCTTTATTGTCTTTCCTCATTACTGAGATTGAAATGTTATTAATTCTCTGGTCAGATATATTTTTATTCAAATGTAAGCTCAAAACCATTTCCAGAGCAAGATACAAAGATTTTTTTTAAAGCATCATAGTATCTTTCTTTTTCCATCCATCATAACCCCCAACACATATTTGCTCACTGTATTTATTGGCTTCACTGGACACTTTTTCCCTCATACATACACTATCCAACTTTCTTTCCTCGTTCATTTAGTATCAGGAAAGAGGTAGGCACGTAGAAGAGTATTATTAAGTCATTGTCTTAATCAACAAATTTGTCACAAAAGACACATCATCAGCAAGGTTCATGAGGAAGCATTAACAAATTTCTTGAGTCATTAAAATTTCACAAGCCTATTAGTTGGCATTTGAGGTAAATAATGTTTTGCTAGTTTTCGCTGATTCAATAAATATTAAGTATCTACGATGTACCAGGTGTTTAAAAGTTCTCTTTGTTGTGTGACTTGGTCATTTAACTATTTCTTTTTTAAAAGTGAGACCTCAAATATTTGTGCAAAACAATGGAACATCAATACTAATCTGCTACTACTAGAAAAGATACTTTGAAATCAGTTATTCAACTAAAAGAAGTCAGCTTATACAAAATAGTATATTTAAATCAATGCTATGAAATTGGTGTCAGGGTTCTTGGGTTTTAAAATGACAGCCTTTTTATTGATCTGACATTGTCATGCTGTTCATTTTATTTTATTCTGTGGTAAGTTACTTTATCTCTTTTTCCTTTAAGTCATTGTATAAATAGCAGAGTCATAGAGTCATTCAGGAAACTAGCAAGTTTTCTAAGACTCAAAACAACTTATCTGTTAGCTATTTTAAAAGAAAATATCTAGAGGCATTGGAGGAGCATCATCCATGAAAATTAAGATACATTAACTCTGTCTTACATAAAAGATTTTGAACTGACATCCCCCAAGTATGAAGGAAATAAGCTATCACTTGCAAATTAGTCCTAAAAGCAATTGGCACAGAAAATCTTAGGGCTAATACAATTTTGGGTCTTGTTGTTAAAGCACCTTCAGCAATAAATTGAAATTCTAGCCAATAAAAGATTTCCTATATGTGCTGAAACCAAATACGTTTTCTGTATAATTCTGAGTTGACAAGAATGATCCAGACCTTAATTACTCTGGCAGTCAAGTCAATTGAGGCTGGAGACTGCCCAGAGATGAAGTGTGGGGGGAGGGGGGAGGGGGGGGTGGCAATGGAGAGGAAGGCGGGGAGGGTGAAAGAATTCAGGGGAAATGTCTTCCTGGGTGCTGTTAGACAGAAGCACTCACTGCAAAGTTCGGCAGGCCTGAGAATTTTCACTTTAACTTTATGTTGATGAATACCATCCACTGAACATCCAGTGCATAATGATACTCTTGTGGAACAAGCCAATCCCAAATTTAGTGGCCTACAACAACAATTTATTATTTCTAATAATTCCGTATGTTAATGAGTGGCACTTGGACCTCACTCAGGCGGGTGTAGTCAGAGCACCACTGGAGGGGCTGAGACCCCCACCACAGCCTCACCCATCTGGGAGGGCGGGGGGCTGGCTGCTAGCCCAGGTGCCTGCTGGGGCAGCCCATCCTCCTGCTCCTCCTTCTCCAGTAGCATGATTTTACTTCTCAGGAATACATGAAGAACAAGAACGGAAGGGAGGTAGAAAGGGAGGAAAGGTGAGAAGGAGGGAGTGAGGAGATAGGAGAGTTGGAAAGGGAAGGGAAGGAAGAAAAAAGAAAAAGAAAAGTGAAGGCACAAGCCCTCCACTCTCCTCCCTTCCCTTCCCCTCACATCCTCTCCTCCTGGTCCCCTCCGCCCGCCTCGCCTTTTCCACCTCCTCTCCTCCCCTCCTTGCCTCTCCTCTTCTGTGATTTTTCCTTTCTCCCCTTCCCTCTCCTCCTCTGCCCCTGAAACCCGACTGCACCTCCTAGATTCATTCCCTTTCAGGAGCCTTCCTCCTGCGGTGGCACACAACAGTGTCCCTCGGCTGCTAATGATGGCTGCCCAAGGTCCTCTCTGGGCACAGCCCAGGGCCTAAAGGGACTGTCTCGCCCAAAGTTGTGCCCGCCCCCGGAGATAGCCCTCATCTAGTGACCGGTCGGTGGGGGGAGTACAGAGATCCGCTCTCTTGCCACAATTCAGAATGGCTCTGAAAGGCTACCCCAGCTCCAGAGCTTCGCAGAGCCGCCCGGGGAATCTTCTGCTGGAGCGGCA